TTTCAGCCTTAAGAAACACTGTAAAGGATATGATCTGTAAAGATTATGAAATAACTTATTTTGATTTTAATGGTAGCATATTCCCCTCTGTCACTGGCAGATTAACTAAGGAGCTTTGGAGTGTTAGATTGGTGAGTGGGTACTTTCTCTGTGTGAGAGACAAGGCTATGGGATGAGGGAGGCGGTTGCAATAGAAGACTTATGAAGGGATCCGTAGCCTCCCAAACTATGTACAGACACAATTTAGGTTTTAGCTGCCAGGGCAGTGCCTGTAGTATGGGGCTGTTCTGCTCCAAGTGCAACCTTGCATCCACTATGCTGTCTGAAGACAAGACTAGATAACCTATCTGCTTATCATATAACAGCAATGAAGCAATACATTTTTGCTGGAGTAACCTAGCAGTTGTCAATTTACGTGCATTTTTTCCAGCAGATGCAATTTTTTGCTTCACTGAATTAAAAATAGATAAAATTGAGAATTTTCATCAAGTTTTTTTTTGTGGGGAGAAGAGTGGAATCAAACAGTGGCTATTATCCAATTAAAGAGGCTCTTTAAGACAGTTAGTGACCTGCTCCTTATCTCCATCCATGCTGAAGGCTGGAAGAGCAGGAATGCAATAAACTGATTGTTCTTAGTGACAGTGGCTCTGCTGTCAAGAAAATAGCTGTGAATAAACCACACCTCAGAAATATTTTCACTTGTCTGCTCTTACTAACTTATCTCAGCTGTATAACACAGTGCCTTTAATTCTCATGTCCTCTCACTCGTTGAGGTGCTGATTTCAGGTTCTTCCAGTTTAGCAGAAGAGATGTCAGTGCTCTCCCAGCCTGGCCTCCTTGTATGGAGCTAATGTGTAGCCTTCTTTGCAGCTGGCTTGGCAGCACTGGCAAGGAGGTGGGTGCGTGCACAGTGGCATGTGGCTGAGATATCAGTCCTGGTAACTTCCTGCACTATGTTCCTCAAAATAAGTGAAGAGAGGCTCTGTAACTCATCCATTGCCTCATGCTTGGAGATGGAAGGCAGGCTGGAAGCTTTTGATGGTATCCCCTTAACACTCGAAGATCAGAGCCATTATTTGATAGCTACCTTCTGAGTTTTAAAAATCCTGAAGACCTACAATCCTTTTCAAAAACTAGCAACCCAGTTTGTCTGTCAGAGGGATTTATTCTCTAGGGAAAACACAACAGTCCTTGCAGTGCTTTACAGAGAGAAATTTGCTGCACTGTCCAGATATACACTCTGTTTAGCTCTTCAGATTGCTGTAATATCTGCTTTAGTTATTTGAATTCAGACCACTGATACAAGACAGGGAAAAGCAGCTCTGCAAAAAAGTAAGCATTTACAGGGTAATAGCCACAGTGCACAGCAAACACTTTTCTTAGCACAGTAAATAACTCTGCTGGGGGTCTAGTGTGGAATCAAGCTTTTCATACCTAATGGTAACCTGTCGCTGAACTCATGCATGGAGTAAGATTTCAGCAGGTAGATGTGAAATTAAGATCACAGGGGACTTTAAGCTTACCCGTGTTCCAAAGGACAGTCCCCATTGAATGATATCCACTCTACTTGCAAGTACAAAACAGAGTGACTAAAGCTCATGCATCACAGGACTGTTCTAAACATTACCAGTGACATCTGTCTTGTCAGTGCTGGAGGTAAAGATGAGTGGCACGTGGGAAATAGCTGCACAGATCACGGCTGGCCCAGTTCTGGTGGTGGATGGATGGCTTTTCCTGACCCTATGTGTCGAGAAGGCAGAGCTGTCAGCTGTGAGTGCTGCAGCTCCTTCCCCATCCTCGGTGCCCAGACCAGGTGGGAGCCTTGCTGGGTCTTTCTCTCCTCTGACTGTTATAAATGTTTGTTAGTTTCCCTCATCTTCCTGAAACAAAATATTGCTTCAAACTTGGAGATTTGAATTTCCTTTTTTTTTTTTTTCCTAATTCATTTAAAATGAAAAGATCTAATTGCAGGAAAAACTGATTTTTTTCCTTATTTTAACTTTTATCCTCTCAGCTTTCTCATGAACAGAAACAATTAGATTTTGTAGAAACAAAGTAATCAACTTCCACTTTTGCTTTGAAATTATTATTATTTTTAGTTTAGAGGAAAGTCAAAAGGAAAAGCTTTGAGAATTAAAACGTGGTATTATAGACATATGAAAAGTCTAGATTTGTGAATTTTCTTTTAAAATATTTTTTTCTTTGGTGTGAACATCATCACATGTTCTTTTCCCAAACTGTTCTTTGAAGAACAGCTAAACAATTTGCCCAAGATTTTCCAGATATGTGGTTGTTATTGTATAGGTTTTCTTTTGACATTGAAGGTCGTGATGCTTAAATGCCTCCATTTTCTTTGTAAGAGGATAAAAGGAATGTTTTTTTCTTTTTTTTTTTCTCTTTTTTGGACAGCTTATGAATGACTTCTGATTTGATTTCTTGAACAGAAATCTGCCAGCTACATGCAGCTGGGAGTTTAATTCATACTGAACAATTCATGCAGGAAATTTTTTTGTTCATAAATCCTTTTTAAACTTTAGTCCTAAATTCAGGCTTAACACCAGTTTAACAGATGCATTTGCCCATGAGTTTATTAATAGACAGTTCTCGTTCCTTTTAACTAATGTGAGTTTCCTGGCTTTGTCATCATGTTCCCATTCAAAGCCTCTGGGGGTTTTTAAGCCTTGTCATGGAAAAAGAATACTGTTGGGGGATGGAACTGAGTTGGGTGAAGCAGACCCTGAGCTGGTAAAGAAAGGAAGTGAGCTGTTTTGAGAGCACTACAGTTTGTATATGTGACATTCTTTACTACCCTGCTGCTGCTGGAGCTAGAGAGACTTCTGCCCTATCTGGATGCTCTGTGCATGTCCTGCATTCCCAGCTGTGCTGCTGACTGCAGGGGTTGGACTCTGGGCCTGGTAGCACTCAGAAAATAATGCTGTTAGCCAGTGCTTAAGAGGGCTCAACAGATGTTATCTTATGATGCCCGCCTAAGGGGAACAGAAAATCCCGGTTTCTGAGATCACTTTCCCATTCTGAACTGAAACAAAACTACATTTCTCTTATAAGATTCAATATTATTTCATAACTTTAATCTCTTCAGCTTTACTTTTGAACTTAGGCGTAGTACAATATTGAATAGTATCCTTCCATACTAATATTTGAGGCAATAACGGAATAAGTATTCAAAATTTGAATCAAAACAAAGCAACAATCAAAATGTTTCATGAGGGCTTGATATAACTGTGCTCAAGTCACTCCAAATCCTGTGGGTTACGTATGGTCCTGAAGCAGAACAGTCAAGATGAAGTCCAGTGAGAAAGGGAATAGTAAGGTACAGAAAATGAACTATCAGTGAACATCAAAAATAGAGGGCTGTGATTTTGTCCTGTGAACTTTTGCACTGGCTTTGCCAGTTGCCTACATACATGCATATGTACAGAAAGAAGAGATGTAATGAATCTGGGGGCAAGATGGGTGGAGGTAACCTTAAGACATCTTCAAATGAATGATGCTTGCTGGCCTTCACTGGTATAAGCATATAGCATTTTGATAAGGTGTTAAGGCAAAGCTGCTGCTTCTGAAGAAATGAAGACTGGGCTAGTGCAGGAGGACATTTCCCTATCTGCAGGGAAACATCAGCACAACACCATGATGGGCACTGGGAATAAGTGATTTCTTTCTTTAGTCTACACTGGTAGCCTGCTGTCAAGCCAGTTAGCCTTTAAGATAAATGTGGAAGTGTAAGTGCCTGCAGGAGGAGAGTGAGAAGTGAGCTTCTTGGATGCAAGGGACAGTTGTTCTCCATAAAAGTGTGGGCAGGATCTGGCCAGACTCCTGCACCCCCAGGAGCTGGAACAGCAGGTCATCTTGAAGAGGCCTTCACAGGAGCCATCTCTGGGGAGGACCTATGGCCTCATCCATAGCACAGCCATAGGCAGAGTGCACCCATAACACAGGGAAAATAAAGTTTACAATGACATGATTTGGTGCAAATGGACTGCAAAGTCGAGAAGGGATGGGAGCTATACATGCAGAGTGGTAAGATAGTCACACATCTCCTTATATATTTCTTGAAACTGTATTTAATTGACTGTAGCTTAATGTGCTAATCATTCAGATGTATAAATTTCTAAGATTACAAATGCATTTGTAAGAGCTGTGTGCTCTTGTACAGATACAGTTAATGTATCAGAAGCTGGACTATTCATCTTTGATTTGAAAATCTCAAAGGCTTTCTTAGTTTCAAGAAGTTTTGAAACTGAAGTATTAGCACTGCAATCCTCAAATCGTGCTTGAAGGAGAAACTTCAGAGATCCTACACAGTGTTTTCCATGTATTGGTGTGCACTGCATTCTAAAAATCACAGAACTCATCTGCTGTTGTAGCTGCTTGTAAAGAATATTCTCTTCGTGTTTTCAGAATGTGGAAGAACGTGTGGTGTAAACTTAGTCTTAATAAACTGTCTCCCAAGCAGGGCTCTTAACATGAGTTAAGCTCAAAGAATCTGAGAGCTTCAGGTGTTGCTTATGTCTAAGTACTACATGTCTAGCCTTGTACTCCTGCGTCCTGAAGTGATACCTTTCTGTTCAGGAAGGTTCTCAAAGTTCATGTCAACTAAGACTGCTATGGGCAGTAGCCCAAATTGTACGGGAAGCATATGTTGGAGCAGTCATGGAAAAATATGCTGCAACACACCCTAGTCTTTCACACGACTCCTGGCTGTCCTGAGAAGTCATGCAGTTTGTTTTACGCTGCCTCAGAAGAGGCCTCAGAAGAGACTGGGATACTAAACAGGAGATCACCACTCCTCATGCTTGTCCAGGTCTTAGCTTGGATCATTGCAGAGAGAGAAAAAGTTGGGGATATGTGGTGAGAAAGGAGAAAGCAATGGACTGAAGGGGAGTGGTACAGAACCACTTAGATCTCTGAATTATTCCTTAAACTGTAGCTGAGTCATGCTGATATGGAAATCGATTCCATTATCTGAGTAGGGAACTTACTTTTTTTTTTTTTTTTTTAATCAACACAGTATTTGTGCTGCATTTTTGTTCTACTTAAAAGCTCTTTTGGGAACAGTGAGTGTTTTGGCACCTCCTATGCACTAATTTCAATGTGACTTGAAGGCTGCCGTGGGCTTGAGAGTAAGCTGCTGTTTCATTGCTTTTAAAAACTGAATCATTTAATTAGGAACCAATAGTTTCAGGATCTTAAGTTTAGTTTTGCTGCTTGAAAAATCTCAGCTCGGGTTAACGTGAGGCAAAGCTTTGAACAACCTTGGACTTTTCCAAAATGAATTTGGTAATGAAGATGTAGCAAGGGTTGTTATTTCCTGCTCCAGCCTATCCTCTATCAGGTTACTGCAGGAAGTGGAAGAGCAAAGGGGAGTCTGTGCAGAGCTGGCAGCACCTAGGTCTCCCATACCCTACTCATAGGGACTGGAGCAGTGTGAGCACCCTGATAGTTTGCTGGCTTGGTTCACCCATATTTTTTAGGGATACTGAAATAACTTGTACAGTACCTGGGGGAAGAGAAATCATTTGGAAAGCCTTGAAGGCAGAATTTGTTTCTGATCTTCTTCTGTACTTCCTCTTTGTGCCGTATAGAATTTTTGAGAATAAAGATGGCTAATGGAAGTCTCTGAGGTCATTCAGGTAATATCTGCGATACAGCCAGTTACAATTTTTTAGAAGAATTGCTCTATATCAGTGAGGAACTGTGACTATTTCAACAGAGGCACCCATTAATCTATATCTGCTTTGCTCTAATAAACTTTGTTAGCCAGGGTTTAAATAGTTTCAGAAAATGCTGTCAAATGTCTGTGAAATGAATAATTTTTCTCAACCTTCTGATTAAGAGGAGGCATAAAAACCAATGTCAAAAATTAATATTATTTCTTTGTTTATGCAACAACATTCAGATTAGTTTGGATTGTATACAGTCGGAAGTGTGACTTGTGTCACTGTGTTTCTTGAGTGTTTCAAATAATTTCAAATAACTTCCTACCTACATGTACAGAAAGTATAAAACTTGTGCAATGCGATCATTGTTCTTCCTTGGGAAATCTAGCTGGGATGGCTGCCTTTGGTCCTTTGGTTACAAACTTATGCAGGTTGTGCTTCTGATATGTGTGGGTTTTGGGTGTGTTTTTTTTTTTTTTTTTGAAAGTTAAATGGTGGTTTAAAGTTATTCTCTGAGCACCTACACTAGACTAAAAGTCAGGGGTACTGCCTCTGTGTTCCTGTTTGTGCAATGAAATCCTCTGCTAGTGTTTTAAAATCTCATCTCAGAAACAGAGTTTTGCATTTTCTGGTTAAGCCCTGCTAAATGCTGATGTGTGAGGAGCTTGTCCAAGTGGGGAGGATGCTTGTTTTAAACCAAGTTTAGAAAGTTCAAAGGTCTGTGTCAGATTCTTCATTATCGGTGTTCAGGACTCTAAGTATTGGGAACTAAGTGTCTGCCGATTGATTCCTACAGTACATTAGGCAGTTATGGTACAGAATTATAACTTTTTTTTGGCACGTGCCTGTTGTGCTCAGCATTTTTTTCTTTTAAAAATAAGTTTTTTTTTGTTAGATTTTTTTTTTTTTTTTTTTTACCCTTGTTGGTTCCTGTAATTAAAGTGCTTGATCTTAACTTTGGTAGCCACATTGAAGTGCTTGAAGTATACCACAAATGTATGCTGATGCTTGAGCCATCTCCTTGAGCACAGACTGTACATAAAGTAGACGTGTAGTTGACAGACATTGTTTTGACTTCTTTTTGAAGAACTATTACAATTTCGGCTGTCATTACCGTGCTAGAGGGGAAAGAAGATCATAATTTTTTTCTAGTCAAAGCACTAAGGAAAACAAAATTTCATTCTAAAACACAAGGAAGATGGAAGAGACAAATGTTGAAAAAATGAATAGCTGGTAAAGGGGGGAGAGAAGAAATGAGGAAGACTGAAGGATTTATATCTTCAGTTGTTTATTCAAACTTGCGCAAATATCAGCCAGCTATTGCTTTGCTAAGAGTGCTGCTGAAGGATTAGCCTTTTACCCCAGCTCCTTTTCTTTCGTTTTCTTTAAATTTAATCAATCTTCATCTGGTAGATGTGGCTCCCTTTTAGGCCTGTGGGGCACTGATGTTTTTATAGTACAGTATGGGTCGGGAATATGGCTCTGGCAGCTTTTAGCAGCATTTTTCAAGTTAGTTCTTGGTTTCTTGTGCTCTTGGCCAATGCTTCATTAGTCTGCTGTTGCGACAGAATGTCTTGGTGATCTTTTTCAATCTGAATATCTTCTCGGCACTGATTTCTCCCTGCCTTGCTACCCTCTTTCTTCCTTCATCAGTCATTTACTCATTTCCTTTTCTCTCTTATTTTTGTTTCCATTCAGGCATGTATGCAGAAGTACTGGGTTATATTTAGATGGAACCGTACCTCTGGAGTCTGAAATCTCATTATGCTTATGGGATATTATTCTACTTCAATTCACTTGTGTATAACTTGTCCTAGACCTACATAATGCCTACTATCATAGCATGAAGGTTTTTTTTGTCAGTGTTTTAGATTGTCAGGTGTACTGCTCTCTAGTTTCAAATCCTTACTGAATAAAGTAGCGTTTTATTTATGTCCATCTGCCTCTGTGCTGATGGACATACAGAAACAGACAGCTGCGTAGTAAAGAATGATGTAAAACATGGGCTGGAAAACACTCCCGGGCATTCCTTACTGTTTCTGGCACCAAGATTTCGAGCACTGCTGTGTCCTCAGAAGGATGACAGTAATTTGACTTGTTCAGATTTGGGAATCCTCTGAGGCCTGAAACAATATTTGTTCTTCTGTGCCTCAAATCTAATTTTGGAGGGAAATAATGGTGACCAGTGACAGTAAATTATATGGGGAAAATGTTTCCTCTGCTCTGATGGAAAAGTTGTTTGTTTGGGAGCAGAATTGTTGCTATTACAACCATCATGCAGCAGACCTTGTGCAGCACTCTGTGCCTTCTCTGGTGAGCAGGGGGAAGACTGCCCAGAGCAAGGTTGGTCTTGTGTGGGAGGAAGCCAGTATGGCTGTTAACAGTGGGAAAGCTGGAAGAGTATAATTGGAAACGTGAAGACTGTAGAGGATTTTCCTGCATTACTTGATGGCTGATAGTAAAATACATACCAGTTTTTGAAAGGAAAATAGACATGTTGTACGGACCATCCTAAGACCAGAAAGGCACTTAAGTTGCTCTATGCTCTTTGGCTTCAATTCAGTTAGTTTAACAGCTGAAGTTCTGCACAGACATAATTGGTTTTCTGAAGTTAGCCGTAACACAGTTACTATGGAAAAGTTAGAGCTTTTAGCACAGCAATGTAAATGCTTTCTCCTAGTGGCCTCTGCTTTCAGTGAGGTTACCAAATGTTACAGTTCTCTGTGAAAGTTAGCATCGTGACCTGATATTTTTAGTACAATGTCTTTGGGATTGGTTCCCCTACATATCCAAGAGTCATTCCGCTGCTTTGAACGTTTGCCAAACCCTCTCAGCAGCTAAGTATAAAACTTCAGTTATTACTTCTGAAACCTGAAAGGTTTAGTGATTGAGCAGATTTTTATGTTTCATTTTGGACTTCATACTGCATGTGCAGTCACTATGTTTTGACAGTATTTTACATTTTATTTTTCCAAGTACTGTTTTATTAGATTAGCCCAGATAGGAAGAATAACTTCACATTTATCATGAGTAACTTGTATGTTCAAACACTGATATTGAATAGTTTAAATCTCCGGAGTACAAACTATAAATTAACATTAGAGGCCTCTCAACATCCATTATGCTGTTTAAAAGATTGTGCAGAATTAATAGTTGCCAGCAGTTTCTACTTGGATACAGATACATCATCTCTTCTACCATAGTCTTAACTCTCTTGAACTGCATGTGTTGAAAAGAATATCTCAAAATTAAAAAATGGCACGGCTGAATAGTGTAATGAATCACCAAGGCTTTTATTGCCTTTCAGGAGAAGATTCATGTTTTCTTGCAGCTCGCTGTACTAGTTTTCCTAAAAAACAGCGATACCATATGGTTGGCTGAGCATGGCCCTAGAGGACAAAACCCCATCTTGCTGGGACCTTTGATTCAGCCTCTTGACAAGCTTAGCATAAAAATCTGATATGTGAAGACATGACGAATGAGCACTTCTGTTACAAGAAATGACTTTCTTTACCAAGTAATGTGGACTTTTAGGCATGCTGATAGAACAGTGAAGAGTGTTTTCACTACTGACTCTTTTTAGAATAAATAGAATTTCAGACCCCAGAGTTTTTCATTTATCATGTTTCTCAGAACTGTGAGAAATTTGGACACAGATACAATAAATCAGTAAAAATCCCACAGTGTGCTGCAGGATGCATTGCAGACCAGAACTTTTGGTTAAGAGCTTGTCATTTCCAGTATGTGTAGCAGTTGGGAGAAACAGCTTGGCATCTTTGAAATTCTGCAACAGCTTATTGATTTGTGCTACAGGCCAAGGGTGGGAGTCCATGCTTCTTGAGGAACATAGGAAGCCTCAGAACTTGTGAAGATAGAAATTGGAAACTCTGGCTACTGAAATCAGAACTGTGCTTCTACCCATCTGCGGTAATCGTTTTCTCACGGTTGCTGCATATTAATCTCACTGCAGCTTGTAACAGCCTGTTTATCCTGTTTGCTGTTCTCTTTGCCATTCTGATGATGTGCTGATGGATGCACAAACTAGGGCATAAAATCTTATATCCTCATCCTATCTCTATCCCTTCTCATAACCTGTTACACACACATATATACATATTTAGTTTCACCACACTAAGGCAAAGCAGGGAGTTGGCAATTCATTACTTTTTCTCAGAACCTATTGTGACTTATTTTTTTTAAACCACATGTGAACGAAGTTCCTTTGAATTTTCTTGGTTAGTATTTGGGGAAAAATAAAATGTCAAACTAGACTTCTGATCTTTCATAACAGCATGTAGAACTTCAGTTCAAATTTAATGCTTAAAGCAACTGTTCTAGTTGCACTTATTTAATTAATTAGGCTGGAAAAGAATGACTAAGGTTTGACTATATTTACATTTCAGTTTCCATCTACGTTGAAATCAAGGTATATTTGTCTTTACAAACATCCATGAAAATGGCTTGATTTTTTCAGAGATTACAAATTCGTTGCTTATGGTGTGCATTAAGAATGAATGACCCTATTTAAAAAGCTTAGTCAGGAATATTATGTGCTGCTTGTTGAAACTCTGGAGGTGAGAAAAAGCACGTGACCTAATGATAGCTTGGCTCTCTCCCTGTATTTACACTACCTATGTAGTATGTACAAGTGCTCATCTGTGCTAGCACACAATAATAGGGATAGGATATCTAGCTGTGTGTGAGACTGAATCCTTGTTTATTCCACTGTTGCTTTTATGCAGATATAATCAATACTTTCATACTTAAATTCTCCTTTTGTTTTTCTAACTACCACTGACCTTGCTACCAGGATGAAACAGAGTAAAATAAGCAAATTTTACCTCTGAGAATCCAGTCTTCAATACAAAGGTTCTACGAGCTTTGTATTAGACATGCTCTGAGTATGTTAGGAAGGTATTTGTCTTCATTCCAGCAGACTAAATTTTATAATTAATGTTCAAAGGAAAGCGTACATGTGTAAAGGACATGATGCAGTCTAATGCCATCTCAGACAACAAGTGACTGTAATGGATTTACAGAAGGCTGGCAGTATCTATCTTTTATTAATAAGAAGTGCTGCAGTAAAGGAAAATTGCATATTGTTGTAGTTGTGTAGATGATACTATTTTTTTTTTTCAGTGGCGGAACCAGAACTTGGTGACATCTTAGCACAAAAATCTAAGACATCTTTGTACGTTTTCTTGCTTCTTGTTCATGAAGTTATATCTTTTATTTCTTTGGTTTACTTATTTCTTATGATTTAAAATTACGCTGTTCATGCCAATGAATTCAGCTCAGGTTGACCCTGGAGTGTGTTCAAGCTGGAGCTTGTATGCTCCTAATCCAAGGTCTCCTTCATGAATATCTTCCTTGCCTGCAGACTGACTGCTGGAGCCTGTTCTGTCCTGTGCAGGCACTGGTGTGTGAGCAGATGCTTCATAGTTTTTGGTCAGTTCATCATTATTTATGATATAGTCTGTGTCCTCATTCTTCCGCTGGTCCTGTATGTTTCAAACAAGGAAAAATACCAGTGAAAGGAACATTGAAGAGGATTTTATAAGGTTTAAATGAAGAACAGATTAGATGCAATTCCTTTCACTTAATTTCTCTATTGTTTCAATTACTAACTTTAGATCTTCAAGAAATTTTGATGATGATTAGGCAAATAGTCGCTTACTATGTTCAGCTCTTGGACGGTGTTGTGAAGTGAATTTACTATTCAGATCTCTAGGATAATTGGTGCTTAAATATCACTGACATTAGTGAGATGGAGCAGCCAATGCTTTCTTTCATTATCTGACTGAATTACTTAAAATCTGACTCATGAGCTGAGTTTGTGTGTCCATTCTTGAAAATGCCGCATGGCACCTTCTGGGACCCCTCTCTACAATCCTGAAGAAATCCCTATAATCCTTCACTATAAAAGTAATAGGCTTTAGGAAAAGCACTGTGCCAGGGTGTTCCATTGAGTACAGTGACTTTTGGGGTACACTTGAAATATCATTAACCAAGTTAGGTACTTACGCTGTATGCACTGGGGCTGGTCAGAATTCTGGCAACAGGATTACACCATTCAGGTAACGTCGTTGTGAGAGGTGGACCGGCATGTGTTAAAATAGGTTTTAGGTATCTGTGAAGTTTGTTAAAGAAAACTTCTGTGTGGATTTGATACTAAGATGCTTCTATAGGAAACTTCATTATAAAGCATAAGGGCAATCAGCCAACTGGATGGAAACAAACAAAATAGTATTTATTTACTCATCCATTATTGCATTGATTTTTACCTCGCACTAGTCTTGATGATGCAATGCTCAAAATCTGTCCTGAAGCACAGCAGAATGGCTGAAGTGAATGTCATGGGGTACAGAAATGGGAAAAGGAATTGGAAGAGATGCAATATGCATTAGATTATCCTGTTTGCTGTTCTCATCCACTCTTTGCTGTAAAAGTGTGATCTTTTTAAACTATTTCCAGTTATAATTGCATAAGATGCAATTGTATCAGCTATTTATGTAAAAACGGTAGCTAACAGTTTCTTAAACATATACTAAGTTTTCTGTAAGATGAATGGAGTTCTTCAACTGGCAAAGAATATTTCATCAAGTATCAAGTTTCTTTATCCTGAGGAGTGTACAAATGTTATTCTCTGTAATACTCCATCTTCAGTATTCAATGCATTTGTTTTGCGCAGTTGTTTTACAACATTCAACATATTTGTTTTACATCAATGCTTCTTTACATAAAAGCATGCAAAAACATTAAGAACAGGCTTTATGTTAATGTCTCACACGTCTTTCCTATTTTTTTCATCCATAAGTGCTGTATTGAGATGAAAGAAAAACTTGCTAATCTTAAGCAAATATATCATCCTTGTATCTGCCAATAGCAGCTCCCTCAAGCTGACATATCTTCTCTGCTATTTTAACTTGCCAAGTCATTTTTGGAGTTCTTTGGTAAGCAGGTCTGTCAGATTTTTTTTTTTTTTTTTTTTTTGCAAACAAGAGAAAATTTTCATTATTGATTGTTGTCCCTCTATCTTCTACTCCTGTCCCAGCTCTCTTCCTTTCCCTCCTTTAAGAGGAAAGTAGACATAAAAAATCGAATGATGACTTGAGTTCTGCAGAAATATTGTAGAAATGCTCAGTGAGTAACAGTGTATGTCTTAGACCTAGTCCTTCCAGTACCATCTCTTCCTTCATGCCACTCTATATAAACTGTCTGCTGAAGAATCTGAGTCATGTGAAACCCTCAAAATCTCAGTTACAGATTGAAAGGCTAGATTATGTACTTGACTGTCCTCTGTACTACAGCCATAGCAGTTGTTCTGTGGAGTCTGGTATATGTATATTTTCTTCTGTGCAATTCTAAAAAATTTAATTGCATCTATTGGAAGATCATGTGATTCCTTCATCCAAAGATCAAGTTCTATACTGAGTTAGTGGGAAAGATGAATATTGAGTCCACTTGAATAAATAAATCTCGTCAAAACAACAATCCAGGTGGGATCAATCAAAGTGGCATTCTGATGGGATTGTGTAGGAAAGTTTACATCCTTCTTTTTCTGTAGGAGCAGGAAAAACAAAACAAAGCACCTTCCTGACCCAATTTTATTTGGATCTCGAAGGAAAAGACCTCCCAAGTGGTTGAGAGCTATTTTTAAAATGCAATGTATGGAAGCTACCAGTTAGAGCTGTTTTGTTTTCAGCATTTCAAAAAACAAAAAATGAACCTGATTAGAAAAAACAAAGCTGCAAATAAGAGCCTAATTCTAGTTTTTTTCATCATTGGAAATAATGGCATTGTTAGTAGTAACAACTAGAAGTATTTGCACTGAGTTGTTAGACCCAGTGTGAAAAATCGAGGCTTTTCATGGAAGCTTCATGTGATTATACCAAGTCCTTCCATTCTGTTCTTTTATTTTCTTCCAGTGTAAGTAACGGAAGATGAATATTTCTTTGCATTTCCTCTTTGAACTATGATCTCTTAGTGAGGTCTCATGTCTAAGCAGACTTATAACTTCATAGTGAACTATATAGCCCTCAGTCTAATTTGTCCTGTTTACCTTCTGTGCTTTGTACAGACAGCACATATGCTTGCATGAAGCCTAGCATCATACCAGATGGGAATAGGGAATGTGTGCTGAAACAGGCAGACTACTTGGCCAGCATTAATCTTCAGTGTGGGGATTTCTAACCTAACCCCTTTCCTCTCCCCAATCTTTTGATCCACCAACACTTTTAGGATTAACTTCAGCAACTATTTGGTTGCTATGCGTAAACTTGTATGAATACCTCATTTTGGACTGTGACAGATCTTCTAAATCTCTTTCCTTTTCACATTTGTTGTGCGTTGTCTATGCTTTTGCTTTTCAGTCTCTTGAGATGCTGTTTAAAGTGAAGTAATTTTTCTCTATCTTGTTATGATGCTTCTGGTTCTGTAATAAATTATTTACCTCTTGTTCCTTACTAGTTAACTAGTAATTAATTATTCAGTCCACTGAAAGAGCTTAACTTGCTGGGCCTATTTGTCATGTTTTAATGACCTATGCTGTAAATGCTTTCTCTATTGTTGGCACGGTTTCTTTATGGTATTACAGTCGTAATCACATTGTTCAGTGCAGCATGAAAGGGGAATTTTAATCCATGTGTGATGCTGGCATTTCAAGAGTATATCAGACATGGGTTATAGCATTTTAAGACTGGCAAAAAAATCTTATCACACTCCAGTTGCTCTGGTTGCATCTCCCGGGAGAAAGAATTTAAATACAGTAATAGAATAAGATGGATTTTGCACAAAGGCTGCATTAAAAATTGGAGAAAAAACCCACAGTCGTTTCTTAGCAGAACTAAGAAATTATTGTCTAACCAAATCTATGCCTTCCTAATACAGGACTGGGGAAAAGACAGCAGAAATAGGTTGTATCAGACAACCTACTCTTAGACTTGCATTTCAGCTCTCCGTGCGCAGAACAAGCATGGCTCAGATACTGTACTGTGTAAAGAGCATTATTAATATTATTGGAAAAGTGGTGTGATAATTTTGAAGTTGGGAAACTGAGTTTGATATGCCTTCATATGCACATGTGGTCCACCATATAATCAGTGTACAATACTGGCATGTTAGCGTGCTTTTGCTCATGTAATCAAATACTAAATTTTCCATTGAGTCCTCATATGTCCAGGCTTCTACTCTCACAAATCTGTACCCTTGTTGTCACTTGAACATCCCTTTGGCCTGACAGTTCCAGTCTGCTGTCTCCACTGTCTGGGCACAGTTCCTCTACACCTTCATTGCTGCCACACTCAGTACCGCAGTCAGTGTTTGCCTGCTCTCTGGTTCTGCTTCTCTTTTTCTGAGTTTGAATCATATGACTACTTCTTGCTCAGCAACAAGGAAAGATAATGCTTTTGCAGAGAAGATAGTCAGGAAGACAGCACTTTGGGTCTAATCTGCAGATACGTCTGGCCAATGTGGCCTGAAGTAAACCTCTCACAGATGGTTTGCCGGGGCTGACAAGGCTGAGCAAGTGAAGAGGGGGCTGTTGGAGGATGCTCATGAGCAGCATGCTCAAAAGCAACAGGACCTTCAGGGAGTTTGGGTCTTTGGGTCTGTTTAGCCTTGAGAGGGGGCCTGATCCAGGTCTAAGTTGTGGGGGGCAGAGTGGTGAGGGCAGACTGTTGTCAGCAGTGTGTGGAGACAGGACAAGGGGAAACGGCCAGAAACTGCAGCATAGGAAGTTCTGCACAAATGTGCCATGAACTTCTTTATGGTGAGGGTGATGGAGCACTGGAACAGGCTGCCCGGGGAGGTGGTGGAGTCTCTTTCTCTGGAGATATTCAAGACCCACCTGGACACCTACTTGTGCAACCTGGTGTAGGGAGCCTGCTTTGGTGGGGGGTTGGACTCGATGTTCTCTGGAGGTCCCTTCCAACCCCTACGATTCTGTGATTCTGTGAGTTGCTCATGAAATAGAAGTTGTTTTTGTAGAAAGCATATGGATAGCAAACTTTTCAAAGCTGTACAATGTGATATTCAGACTGAAATTTCACATTTTCAAGGTGGAATTTGAGGTCTTTCCTCTAAGTTTAGATAATTTAGAGAAAATCTCTTGAGGATTTTTCAGTGGGAAAACTTGGAATTGCTTGACTTTTACCTGGCACTTCACCCCTTTCCCCCCCCCCAAAAAAAAAGAAATATATATATATATGTACAACAAACACACACAGCCCGAAACAGCTGTTATGGAAATTTGGAGATTTTCCTTTCATACATCAAATGTTTCACAAAATTACAGGTAATATGTATGAAATCTTCAAATGAGAGTTGTCAGGTAATCCTGATGGGAAATGCCAATGTCAGTAGCCATATATTGATAATTTCCATTATGCAGAAAATTCTGAGATTTGAAAATAGTTTTTTGCCGAGTTTCAGAATGAAGAAATTGGAATCTCAATTATTCTTTCAATCAATAAGCTGAAATGACCATGTTTTTGTTAAAATGTGATCACTGGACAAAATTTGGAGAATATTGGTAAAACCACTGTTTTTAACTTAATGATATGAGCTGTTCAAAGAGAAAAATAGCAAGGCAGAAATGTTGTGACTGTTTTGAATCAAAGACTTAAAGGAAATGCATTTCTCTTTTGCTCGAAGAGCAAGTCCTAGTCCAACTCCGATGGGTTTGCTAAAGAGCAAAACAGTAATTCTTACATCCTCATTTTCTGCATGCTTGACTTGAACTTTTGAGAGAAAGTTTCAGCACTACGAAGTACTGCATTTGGCTCAGAAGGTGTTTTTTGCCTTTTGCCTCCTCACATAATGGTGGTTCTGTAACTGAGTGTAATCCCACCCCTCCCTAAGGAGGCAAATGCTCTCACACTACAATATGGACTATTAAAAAGCCCTAAAGTGCAGGAGTTCTTGTGATACTAGTAAAAATTACATCTAGTTTTTCTTTTCTTTTCTTTTCTTTTTTTTTTTAAGAATACTTTCTTAAAGCAGGTAAGCTGTGTTATAAGTACACATTTGTTACAAGTATGCCCCTAAATACTGCTTTGCTAGGTGTTGCATTTCTGCTGTATGCATAAGTCTCTAGAGGCAAATATCACCACTCCCAGAATCTTTCCATTG